TCTGAAAAAATAAAAGCACTATCCAATATAAATGGTCCAGAACTTACATTGATGTTACACTATAATCCGCCATAGTAGATTATTTCTTTCACGCCGTTTTCGTTCAATAATGTTAAAATGGTGTGCCGATACAATATTTTAGGTTTTTCGGACGCAGAGATTCTTTTCATGTGCCCTAGTCTTTCAGTCAAAGGAATCACAGTATTTTCTGTGTTACACATTGCACGAAACGAACGATCATATAACAGCAGTGATACATTTATTTGATTCTAGTACGATTTTAAAAAATCGGTTATATGAGAAAAATCGATTTAATGCTGTTTTGAACGATTTCATCAGTCACTGAAAATCAATCACAATTACTTTTCTTGAAACGCGTCTGTTTGAGTGGTTTCTTCTTTAGTTTCTAAAAGAGTTTCACGAAAAACTAAAACGGACAATGTATTTACTACATTTTCAACGTTACCAGAAGTGATTTCAGAGAAATCCTGTAACGAGACAGAGAGACGAAAAATGAAATTGTTCTCATTTCTTGGAACCATCGTTGTAGTAGTTACACATTGAATTATTTCTGTTGTTAATGCAATAGTTTTTGGAAAGCTCATCCTTCTTCATACTGGTTTCAGATCCCGTAATCATTCTAAGCAACCGTACATGCGATTGAACTGAAACTTTTACAGAACATTAATGTTCTACTAATTTAGTTATGATAATATTTTCTGGGCACTACCTATCACACTGTTCACGAGATGCCACTGGTACATGGACAGAAATGAGACTGTTCGTACTGCAGCAATTCTCGGCCAGTTTAAGCAGTGAACAGCTGGGATTGGTCTCAAACTGAGGTTAAGACATTCCTCTACAGACAAAGCCGAATTTTAAATATTTTGCTATCCAAATAACAGGAAGCTTAAAAAGTGAAAAATTCAAAAAACAGAAATCAACATCTCCAGGAAAATGTTTCTGATGGAAAGCACAGGTCGCTTTTGAGACAAAATGGCGCTGGTGTAGGATACATATTTTAGAGCTTCTAGAGAAAATTCTCACAACTTTTGACTAAAATCTCGTCTAGGGTTGCAAGATGTCTCGTTTTGATGATTTTTCAAAAAGCAAAGGTTGCCACGAGAATTCAGTGTGGTCGCTTACCTATGTTTCCATTCATCTTCGGGATTCAAAAGAAGAAAAAAAAAAGTTAATAAAAAAGTTAAGAAGTTATTGTTAAACAACAACTGAGGTTCTTGTAGTTTGAAAAAGATAGTAGAACAGCCAGGTTTTTAGGATTTTCAGAGAGCCTCTCAAAAAGTCTGCAGAAAGCATTGATGAAGTACGGACTGTCATGGATTCTGAAAGCAGGCACCTTGGGCTATTCGATGATGTGCTTCATCTTCAAACTAAATTGTTCGAAATCTGAGAAAACAATTACTAATTTTAAGAAATACTTTCTACCTTAGCAATTCGGACTTCTTTTTGGAAACCTTTGAATATAGTCTCCGAAGAAATGAAGCATCAAACATCTATATTACTTATCCCTGTCTTAAATCATGTACAGTTATAAATTGATCAAAGCTTACGAGAAACAATAAGGTGCGGTAAAAAGAGCATCCTGGATGCTTTATAAAATGTTTATGATGTTACGATTATTCTATCAATAACTAAGTAACTGAGTTGCGTCCCATCGAGGTTTATTCGAAATGCGAGACATGAAGGTTACAAAAAGAAACTAAGTTTACTACGAATATTTTTGATAATGCATCAGCCAGAAAGAAAGCCACTACCATCATTCTCATTATTTCAGATAACAACAACAGTTTATCGACTACTAATTCCATCATAAACCAACACATCGACACAGGAATCAGCATCCTATAAGCTTTTTAACTATGTTACAGTGTCTGTATCAAAATGCATAAGGGTAAGTATGACTAAAGTAGTAGTGTGGTAGATCTGTATCTCTCATAAAGCGAAAAGTATACCTATAATCGTATGTTTACTCTGCTAATGAATCTTTTGAGAATAACGAGTCAAATGAGCTGACTGAGAATGTAGGTAGTGTTCGATGTTTTCGTGTTTGCCTCGTTTGAACATCGGTTGGTGCTGCTGTTGTTGTTGTTGTGGTTGTTTTTGTTGTTTTTGTGACTATAAAACTGTTTTAATCCACGTCTATTTTGGCGATATCTTTGATTATCGAACGTTTTGGAATATCAGGTAACGACTGAGGAGTCTCGATGACGGTTATTCTTGATAATTCTAAACTGTCATCCGGTTTACTAAGTTTAATACACGGCAGTGATGACATTTTTGACAGAGTAGTCTTATTCCACGATGAATTGTTCAGGAAGAATTCATTTAAACTGTTCTGGGACGACTGGAGTTGTTTTAACGTTGTGTCCTCTTCCCGCTCGAAATCGATTCTGTGCTCTGATGTGGCTGTTAATTGTGGTGGGACTTGTAACGGCGCCGTCATCGTCAAACTATCTGTGCTGAAAGCATCTATAGTTTCTTTATCACACGAAAATTGATCAACATTATCGTTATTTGTCGAAGGACGGTCACAGGCTTTGGTGGCTTCTTCAAGCGAAGGTTTTGATTTCATAATTCTGTCTGAACGTTGTTTTCGTGAAGCTCTTTTTAAAACTGTTAAACACTGAGTCGATATGATGGGCGTACCGCAATTAATTGGATAACTGAATTATAAAAAATCCTGATTCTTTTGCTAACAGTACGACTTTTCTGCCTTCGAAACTTCAGCGTTAACATTTCGCAGTTCGTGAGTGTAAGACATTTTGTAACTATCGTACAAGAGCAACTCTCTATTTTTCTGT